ATATGTAATTTGTAATTTAAGTAATTTGGTTATAATTCATTTCCATTCTAGCTCCTGAGCTGCAATATTCAATGTGATAAATAGGTTTACATACGTTATAATCCGACAAACAGCTCAAATAGTAGGTTGTTTACATGTTTCGGCTTGTATCCGCCATTGTCAAAACATTGCAGTTGGAAAAAAATACTTATCATTGTTTACTAATGTCTATAAACTTTCACACCCACATACACGAACGAATAAAAAAATAAATAGGCCTATTACCATAAATGCACCTGGAGTCTACAAACTGTTATAGTTTGCTCATTTTATTTATGGATATGTGTTGGTAAATGTATACTCGTATGAATTATATGATACAATTTACATAAAAACTATTATTTCTTCCCCAAGAGGGAATAAATTTAGTCTGCAGGACTGCTGCGCGGGAGTACTTTGTTATGTATTTAATGTGACAGCAAATCGTTTTAATGGTTTTATAGTGAAATTCTGTATAGTTTTTGTTAAGAATATAAGTTGAATCGGCGTTAATGTATACTCGCCTCCCGCTCCAAATTCTTGGGTCGCTAGCGGCACGGTAGAAAATTGGTGGGTCGCTAGCGGCACGGGTCGCTTCTGGCACGGTCGCTTCTGGCACGACACCCTCGGGACCAGTGGAGTCGTTTTATTGCCCCAACCTTTTTCGACCCTCGGATTACGGGACCAGCTAACCATTACCCGCAGACTGGCGCCGCGGTATCCTTTGACCAGGCAACCTCAGAGACGCCGCCGTCTCGGGGTGGGGGGCAGCCCTAGCGGCCGCAGCTGCCGTGCTTTACTATCTAAACTAGTAATTTCATCGATTCGCCATTCCACAAAGTGTAAACTATTTCCGGTTAATAACACTTGAACCAAAAGAGCACTAAGGGGTATTTTAGCACTAACCAGCACTAAGATAAGATAAGAATAGTGTTTTATTTTACAAAATAGTTTACAAACTTACAAATTGAATTTTACGCTCATATGGGTCTGACCGTCTACATTCCACTACATAATAAATTACATACAAAATGCATTCGTACAAAAGATTAGAAACATAAAAGCTCATTCAGAGTGGTTTACTTTCATTATTATTTATTCTACTACACTACAGATATTTTTTAAGCTATTGCCTAACCTTACCTACACGATTACGTATATACACATACATCATTCATAGGGTAGGCCTATACATACACACTCCACATACACACACATATGTATATATACACACAATTTGCAAATTAACCCAAGAATTGGTTTATACAGTAAACAATAATAGGCTATATTATCTTTAAAAATAATCAATGGTTCTTTGAAACTAACCGGCACTAACGTTACACTAACGATTTGTACCATTTTTGACGTTAGTGCTCAATTATTTGTACTGGGGGGGGCTAACTTTATATAAAGTTGGCACCACCCACAGTTTTTTTTATAATAACACTTGAACCAAAAGAGCACTAAAGTTGGTGATTTCAGCACTAACCGGCACTAACGTAGCACTAACGATTTGTACCATTTTTGACGTTAGTGCTCGATTTTTTGTACTGGGGGGCCAACTTTATCAGTTTTTTTATAATAACACTTGAACCAAAAGAACACTAACGTTGGTGATTTCAGCACTAACGTAGCACTAACGATTGGTACCATTTTTGACGTTAGTGCTCAATTATTTGTACTGGGGGGGGGGGGCTAACTATTATATAAAGTTGGCCCCACCCACCGTTTTTTTAATAATAACGCTTGAATCAAAAGAGCACCAACGTTGGGGATTTCAGCACTAACCAGCACTAACGTAGCACTAACGATTGGTACCATTTTTGACGTTAGTGCTCAATTATTTGTACTGGGGGGGCTAACTTTATATAAAGTTGGCCCCACCCACAGTTTTTTTAATAATAACACTTGAACCAAAAGAGCACTAACGTTGGGATTTCAGCACTAACCAGCACTAACGTAGCACTAACGATTGGTACCATTTTTTACGTTAGTGCTCAATTATTTGTACTGGGGGGGGGCTAACTTTATATAAAGTTGGCCCCACCCACAGTTTTTTAATAATAACACTTGAACCAAAAGAGCACTAACGTTGGGGATTTCAGCACTAACCAGCACTAACGTAGCACTAACGATTGGTACCATTTTTGACGTTAGTGCTTAAATGGGGGGGGCCAACTTTATGGACCTCCGAAGTGGTGAAGTAGTAAAGGCGAGCTGTTTGGGGTGTGGAATCTGTTTATGATCATTATATTAATATTAAGGTATTTGCAATCCTATGATGCTATGCTATGATGCTATGATGATGTTATGATGCTAGTTTATAGGTTAAACTATAAATAACAGTATTGCACTAGCATAAGAATATGTTATTCTTATGTTATGAACATGTTGTTCATCGATTTATGAAACGTAATACTATTTTACGCCTCAATAGGTTTTGACGAACTTCTCACGCAAGGATTTAGTCTAGAAAACAGATTTTTGCCGTCAGCTTAATCAAAGGGGTTTCATTACGTACTACTGTACTGTAATGAGTTTTACCGGACACCAACCAGCTGATTATATACGGTATTTGGCAATGAGTGAGAGTGGTTAGTTAAAAACAAAAAGATAACCTCTGTTAGAAGGTTATTACTACTGTGATTGTTAGTACTTTAGTCGGTGGTAATTTATAAGAATTTGTACTGATTTAGTAGTATCATTGACTTTATATCTACACATGTGTAGATATAAAGTCAATGGTAGTATGGCGTAAAATATCGTACGTCACTCGTCCAAAATGTGTTTACCGGACTCGTATATGCCATACTTGACTTCGTCTCGCACGGGAACAGCCACACTCGTCCGGTAAACACATATTTTCAGGACTAGTAATGTAATATACTATTTCGTTTGTTAAAATTCGAACCACTTAAAACTTAGGTGTTTGCACACCAGTGCCTCTGCCAAAAATGATTTCAGAATTTGTTTGTACATTGCATTTATTTAGGAACCTTTTAAATAGTTATTTGTGTAACTAGTGGTGAAAGTGGCACTTTGCTGCACACGAGAGCAATGTTTACGCACGAGCCGCAGGCGAGTGCGGAATGATCTCGAGTGCAGCAAAGGCCTTTTTCACTCGTGTTACACATTATACTTTTCCTACAGTCACTATAAAACATAAATAATTAGTCTTTCAAACACTATACAACACGTTTTTAGGTTCAGCTAGCAACACAATTACACAAATGGTGCCCTTTAGAAAGTAGTACCCGTGGTCCGTATCACTCTGCTATTTTTCCTCGGCAAGAAATGTGCTCCGTCTTTTGAGAATATAGTTCCGTATGTTTTTGTAATTTGAAGTGGTTTCCGCGCCTAAAAAAAATGCTTTAAAGGTATTTTCTTGTTTATTAAGACCGTAGGAATGTTTTAAAAACGTTTAAAAGAAAAGTCCAGAAAGTTCAGAAATACCAAAACTATAAACACGAAATGACAGGTTAAATCGTAGTTATAATAGTCAATCAGCTGTTCATAGTATTATTATCGGTACTTACGTATTAAACGGAGGCCACCTAACCTACAGATTCGATTCGATTAGTAAACCTTCACCATCAGCAAGTTTGGTTGGTTAGGTTAGGTTAAGATAGTTTAATTTGATAAAAAAACATATATTTATGATAACCCAACCTAACATAACCGCTGCAGCGCGCTGTAAAATATGTGGCCTCCGTTTAATACGTAAGTACCTTATTATCTTTAAGTGTTGCCAACCTATTTCCAAGCGTACACGGATTACGTGCATAATAAAACCACGCTGTTTTGTGTTGTTTGGTTGGAATCCTGATGTGCGGCAAAGTATAAACCGTGCGGCAAAGTATAAACCGTACGGCAAAGTATAAATATGCAGCAATTAGCAGCTTTCTGTACTATAAACAGTACAGGGAAGCCAACTTTGTCGGGTGACTGTAGGAAAAATTATTTTTAGAGCAGTACCAGTACCTATGCTTTCAATATTTGTTTTTAGATAAATTTCCTTGTTTTAAAATACATCCTGAAAATTAGACCATTTCGTATATACCAAGGCAGAAATGTGGTTCGGATTCCACTATAAACTGTAGGTACCTTAGTTGCCATTGCCAGCTGTATGGGCTAAAATATCAGCTGTGTCTAAGGAATAAGTCAACCTTAGTCACTAAACAAGACTACAAGATCGCGCCACTCATCTACACTCATCTCCGGTTTAAAATACCTACTTTGTATACATAGTATAAAGTATAAAAAAGTATTATTTCTACGTATACATTTTCCCACAAAACCCAAAACCCATAGCATAACGAAAATCGGATTTACAACAAACGCGGGTTTTATTACTTTTAGTAGGTATGTTCTCTGTTATTCTAAACAAAATACTGTAGTGCAACAATGATTCATTTCTTGCTGCATTTCTTGTACCCTTGCTTCATTTTTATTGCTGAAAAATTATATGGCTCAAAAGTTATTACTATACAACTTTTGTAATTGATTTTCCATATAAAAAATCATATTACCAGTAATAATTAATTATTACTTACACCGCTTACCTACGATAAAGGTTGCAGACAAGACAAGCTAGGTGAAAGTATGTGTCAGATTGCTGAATGCTGATACCGTTTATTTTAATAACGAATAAATCTGACATGACGTAAAGAAATGTGTACCTACTTAAAATCCTAACAGACAAATGGAAATTGGCTTTAACTATAACTACTGCAGAGTGCAGGTTTGCTGCAGCGGGCGGAGGTATTATACAATGCCATTGAACACCTGTCTGGTTATTTATACAGTCTGCAAACTTCAATCGGTTTAAAAATACTCATGTGGGATATTTCGGGAATGTCGCCTCAATGAGGTTGGCAGCAGTGGGAGAAAGGCCGCGAAATGGGGGGAGAAGAGAAGAAGATGGTGGGAGGAAGGGGGAGAGAAGGAGAGAGAAGAGAACAGAAGTGAAGTCGGCCCTTCTGCCGACAACTGTACCAAAACAGCTGAGTGAGTGAGTGAGTGGAGTGGACCGAGCGTCTGCGTAATGTTGTGTTGTGTTGTCTACATTCACATTGTCGTCATTAGCGCTTAGAGTTCGCGCTTCCGTATAAATATTTGTGTTACATCGTTGTGTTGTGATTTTGTGAATGAAAACTAGTTTGTTATTTAGTACTTATAAGTTGCTCTTTTAACGCAGTGATAATGTGAGTTTTGTTTGCAAATGTACTACTACTACACATGGATTTTAACTGAAAACATAACCTCTATATGCTAAGGTGAGTTTGTTTACCATTCGTCTTCATAGCATAGTTTTGTTGAAAGTGTAATCATAGGTCTACATTTAAGCAATAATTTCGTTGTGGTCGTTTATGTTCACTTTCTAGAATAAGGTAACTTTTTCGGTATTCTTAAGTGAATTTTCATTGGAAGGGAGGTAAATCACTTCAGCTAACTTATACCATAGATTAAAAGAAGTAGACATGTCTATACTCCTTTTATCTATGCTTATTCTTAAGTTTCTTCTAAACAAATGAAAACTATAATGTTTTCATTTGTGTGTGACTCTAAAGTCTTTTTTATAAGTCGTGTTGGTTGTTTCGTGTTAGTGGATTCATATGCCTGCTAACACCAAGTTAAAGAGGCTAATAGAAATCCACAACTTAATTACGAATGATCATACAATATCAGTTACAAACAAAATAGTAACACCCAAGAAAGGATGGACATACACAATGAACTTTTTACGTACGCTTTTAAAACTAAAATACCCCCGCCGCAGCAAACCTGCAGACTAAGCGAATTCCTTTTGCCTGATTGGATGTGCACTAAAATGTCTCCTTAAAAGATCACATTTATTCCCTACTAAAACAGAATTAGTTTAACGTGTAACTATTGGTTTGCTGCTACAGGGAGGGTGAAAGGGTTTTTTATGTTAATAGTTAGTAAGAAATAAAAACATTTGCCAAATTTGATCAAAATATGTTCATAAACAAGCAAACTACAACAGTTTACTTATTCTCCCTAAGAATAACGATCTTTTGGAATTTTCTCCGTAACCATTAGGCGCATAATATAAACGCTTCAATATACTAAATTATTTATTTTTTAAGCTCTGCTCTTCAAAATTGTTTGGAAAGAAATTGCTAAATGTTATTTTTTTTGGGTCAAAAATGGGAAAAACCAATTTTTAACGCGAACTCGTTCGAATAAATGTAGGTTTACACGTATATACCAAAATTATCAAAATTGGATGATTTTTGCTTGAGTTATCGTGTTGACGGACACATATAAACTTAGCCTATATATATATATATATATCATATACCGGTAGGCCTATATATATTTGTGTGAATTTGAACGGATGGTGTTTTTGGCCTCTATAGGGACCTCAAAACGAAAAAGTAAATCGGTCTCGGGTCTAGGTCAAGTACCATGAGTACTACGGTATAATAGCTTATTCCTTATATAGCCTATGGGAATTTCGCTAAAAATGAGTAGGCCCTATTTTTTTTGCACTCTCAATAGTGTCACCCACACCACAAAATTGTTAAATGAATCGTCATAGACAATGGACACCGGCTGGGCCTACTGTTCTTGGTTGAGAGGATGTTTGGCCGTTCATTATTCACAACACAACCCCGCACCAAAACCTTGTCCTCTTTCATCCTGCCGAGTGCTTCGGTCACTGATAAAACTATCCAACAACTAAATTAAAGCCTATTTTCTACTGAAAGAATCTAAGCAAGTTACCATACCGGTGAAAACTATAGGAGTTGAAAATGACCCAGTTCACAACACGGCAATACTTTAATACTTTCTTATGAAATGGCGACCATACAATGTAGGTATTTTAAGCCAAGTATGAATGGAGATGAGTGTAGGATGAGTGGCGCGATCTTGTAGTCATGTTAGTGACTAAGGCCGACATTCCTTAGACACAGCTGTTAATTAATAGCCCAAAAAGCTAATGGCAACTAAGGGACCTACAGTTTATAGTGGAATCCGAACCACATTTTTTCCTTGGTATATACGAATTGGTCTAATTATCAGGATAGTACTGCGGATAGTCGTAGTACTCACTAGTGCGGACGTTAATCCACACCAGGGAGTATCCCATCCACAGTGCATACCTATAAATATCCACAATCCGTGACCTCCTAGTAGCTGGATTACAGGACGACGCCACCCGTCCCAGTCAATTGTTTGCTACAATGGAATTTATGTCCACAGCACGCACAGGGTGCGTTTAGAAATATAAAAAAATGCTGAGATCTTAAGTATTCAGAAAATGTTAAGTATATTAATTTTTAAAGCCGTCAACTGTGTAACTGTATAAGTTAAGTTATAGCCTATAAAGCTTAGTTAGACCTATTTAAAAATTTATTATATCTATAAAAAACTTTAAATTCTCATAGCCCTAAATTAATGTTTTAACAAAAATATGAGTTTAATTTCATAACTTATGACTGAACAAGTAATGTCGTTTTTTAGCTTTTAAACCTTAATTGTAAATTTTCCTGATTTTCTTATTCGTTACAACACTTAAGGCTTATTGAAAGTCTACACAAACTAACCCATGTAGTACCTAAAATTAATAGTATTAATTTGGTAAAATAGCTGGTACCTTCATAGGCGTCTTTTGTATTGAAATAATATGACACGACACGGTTCTTAATTTATTTAAATCTGAAGTTTCAACCTACCTTTCTGCATCATCCGTTACCTAACAATAAATGTGACTTTATAGACTGTGAATAGTTTATATATCTAAATTAAAGGCACCAAGTAGGTATAATTTTGTCGTCATAAATAACGTTGCTTATTACGCCAGGAACTATTGTCAAGTTTCAGTCCACTCAAACAAAGGTATGGAGAGCAAGAGGTGGTGTTTGAAGGGTTGTTGAACAAATTTGCTTGTCTTTTATATTGTGTGCTTTGAGGTTTAGTTCTTTGTTGCCTAATGATTACAGTAAGTCAAGCCTTATAGCTTATAGCCTTATAGCTATGATTATAATTGCATCTCTTAACTACTTAATAAAATCTTTTTGTTTTGTGTATCTAGACCTAATTTGTGTATGCTCTATTAATATTAGCAATTTAATAGACTATTAGACATACTGTTTAAAAAAAGCTTACAGTAGAGTGGAAATTGGCTTTAATTGTCTTAGTATTTATCCATTAAATACAGATGGGCAACAATTGACCAAGACAAATTTTCTAAAAGAATTAAAGTATTTTTTTATCCCCATGTTGGACTAGTTATTATTAGTAGGCTAAATGGTTTTGTAATATAACCCTGCGTTATTTTTATTCTGCTCGACGTCACCTGTAACTCAAGTGTCATGAAGACAATTTAATTTAGTACTGATACGACTGCAAGTATAGACTAGGTTTGAGTACTTGAGTGAAGTATTTGTAAATAGATAGTCAGTTAAATATTGATACTGTAGTAGATTGTACTATAACTACGGTATTTGGTTATCTTGGTTGTATAGTACATTTATTGGCATCCGTCATAAGAATGCTCCAAATCAATTGTTTTCTCCAAATCCTGCATTGTTATAATAGTAACCGCAAGCCATTTTATAAGATTTTTATTGATTTTGGAAAACATCGATATACAGCAACAGCCGCGGCTTATCGCCAAACTGAAGCCATTGGTGAACGCTATATAACACTAGACACTAGACTAACCCGCTCCATAAAAATACATTAGGCTATAGTTTAAATTTATACATGTGGAATTAGAATTAGCTAAAAGATTGGAAGAGCTTTACTTCAGTAACTTACTTTGGTTCCGTTAAATAATTGGTCAAAACATCACCACTGTGCATTTTTTATTATCTTTCTAAGTGTCCAACAGTTCAGTAACTTAGTCATTGGCACACAAGTACTTAGTATGTTTTATGATAGCACTATATCTAGACCCATGTTGTCGTGTTGTCGTGTTTTCACTCAAGTGTCAGCGGTTTTCTCACCAGTTGCCGTCTTGGTTTCTCGCCAACGTTTCGTGTCATGCGCTCGAGCGTGTTTAATTTGATACAGCTATTTTGTTTTTGACGTCGACGTCGAGTGCAGATCAGAATGCAGCTTGTTAGCAGTGCCAAATGGTGTTTCTGACGTGCTCTGTTCCAAGCTCTACAGTTTGTTATAAAGGCAAAGACCAGCAAGCAACACTTTTTCTAGCCTATAATTCTTTACCAAAGACTTCTCATCGAGACATATTACAGTAATATAACTTTAGTGTGCAATCTAGAACTGAAAATTAATTGTAAAAAACATTTATTTACTAGTACGGTGTTGGTTGTGTTGGTTTTATTACTGAGTACCTATATATTACCATCCATGTGAATTAGTTCATCTATGGTACTGGGTACAGCTATTTTCACAGCTATTATGTCATTGGGTTAACTAGTTCATACGTGGTAGTAATGTAACGAGTCCTTTGATAACGACATCTTCAATCGCAAATCACATTTCCGGCCGCTAATAAATCACACTTACCCTAATTGTTATTTTAATTTGGTAAATTTTGATATGATAATATGACCCGGCCTTGGTGGCTATATTCTGTGAAGATTCGTTTCAAGCTTTATAATAACATGTCAACAATCATCCCTATAAGATATATAGCCTACCTTGAAAATACAGTACCACTTATAAAGCCACTAATGGCATAATGGCATGGAATAAAGGAGTAGACAGTATCGAGGTAACCCAGGGAACTGTTACATATATCAAAATTATTACAGTTCGAACATAAAACCCCTGTCAGATTCGCTTTAGATCCTAATTCCAATGTTAATCAAGATGATTTGTAATTACCACTAGGCATAAAGGAGTGTTTATTAGGCCTATTTTAATAAAGATTTAAAAGAGATTAAATATAACTTAATGGTTCTGTCTGCAAGTCTATCAGTGATAAAACTTCTTCTCTGATCCAGTTGACATTGCTATCAGAAGTTATTTTTTTTACTTAGCTTCAAGAAACCATTACATCTAACGTACTGTGTTTAGTACTTCAGCAACTTAAGAGCCGAAGTGCAAAATAGTGTTTAATTTCTCTAACATAACAAATGATTTTAAATTTAAAATGAAAGAAAATAGTCTACTACCGTTTACTAAACGTGTGGCAAAATACTTTAACACCAATGCGATCAATCTAGTTTTTAATCTAATTTGTTGGTAAGAAAATACTGTGATACGATTAGCTTTTAATTTACTGGTTACGATAAAGTCACTGTCACAGTTAGGCGTACCGTTGGGACAATGCGTT